GCGTACACAAATGACATACCCACCCTGGCAGGACACTTGCAAGAATGGGAGGACGACGTCGAACTAGCACTGTTTGCGGATGACAGCGCATACTTCACGTCGTCCAGAAGAGCCCACATAGCAGCTGCCAGGATGCAACGTCTGTTGGACCTGCTGCCACCATGGTTGGGTGAGTGGAGGATGGCCGTCAATGTTAGCAAGACGACCGCTCTACTCACTCGCCGCTATAGAAATCTACCACCACCGCTAACCCTCGGAGGCCAGGAGATCGCATATGAGAAGGCCGTGACCTACCTTGGATGTCGGATTGACAGGATGCTGCGTATGACTGCGCACGTCGACTCTGCTATACGCAAAGCTCGATGTGCGCGGGCAATGCTCCGCCCTGTCCTGACATCCAAGTTACCGACAAAGTCGAAGTTAACTATTTACAAAACATATATAAGACCCCTGCTAACATACGCTGCTCCGGCCTGGTATGCACTCCTGAGCGATCATCAGAAGCGGCGACTTCAGGCCCAGCAGAGTTTGTCATTACGAACCATAGTCGGAGCGGGTCGCTACGTCCGTAATGACGTCATAGCGGCCAACCTCAAGATGGAGAGCCTACATGATTTCGTGGTCCGGCTGGCGCGCGGTATGTTTGACCGCGCCGACAACGGGCCACATGAACACCTCAACGGCTTCGCGCCGTTGCATGCAAGGCCGCCGGACGGGCGACCTTATCCAAGAGAACTCCTCCCTATATAGATTAGGGAGTCTGAGTAAAACCCTCAATGCCGCAGAAAGGCCAACTTTGACCAATTGTGTTATTTAAACACAATGTTTAGATAACCTCTCTTTATTATAAATTTACCGATTACGACAATAGTCGTTATAAGCAACGCCTCTAACATCGAGGCGCCCAGGACCGGCACATTGTAGTGTGCCGTGAGGAACATCCGGGTAAAGGGGTACACCCCGAGGCCCGAGACCTGCACGGCATGTATGCCCTGCAGAGGACAACAACGCTGTACTACTAAGAAATTCAGGACTTCATAGGCGTAATTTTTACTGACAGCTGTCGCAGAGATCAAGCTATCTTTTATGAACTATAAGTACTAAAATTTCCGTACGGTTTGGTACTGAATGTTTGTTTGTAAATTTGTTTACCATGTACCAGGAGAGCTTAAGTTACTTAGTACAGTTGTTCACTTAAGTTCAGTACGTTGACTTAAGGTCGTTCGCCCCAATCTTCAAAACGCGTTTTTTTCTAACCACTGGTGTGAAACGGTACAGTGACATTGATCGCTCGGATCGTTATAGAAAAAATTGTTGTAATAGCCTGCTTATTGGCAGAGAAAGAAGAAAATTAAATTCGAAGAAAATAAGATTCTGGATTCATAATATTACTTTAAAACGGCAGTTGTATGGGGAATATAATAATTTATTTAAAGAAAATGTAATAATTTATTTTTAAAATTATATTAATTTAAAACGGCAGTTGTATGGGGAATACAACTGCCGTTTTAAATTAATATTATGAATACAGAATCTTATTTTATTCGAATTTAATTTTGTTCTTCCTCTGCCAATAAGCGGGCTATTACAATAATTTTTTCCATAGCGATCCGAGCGATCAATGTCCACTGTACCTTTTCACACCATTCGATGATTATGGACGATTTTTTTGATTTTTTTGCATAACCATATCTATGGAAAACTCAAGATTTAGAAGGCTACGAGGGCGGCACTGAAAATTTCGGGAATCAAGGAAGTGACACAACATTACTATTTAAAAAATGTATTTATTGCTTTTCGAAGTATTCTCCGCGAAATTTGACACATTTTTTTATACGATGGAACCAATCATTGAAGCAACCATTCCATTCGGAAGTTGGGTCTCCAAAATGGCCGTTTTGTAAGCGTCCACAGCTTCTTCAGGTGATGAAAATATCTGTCCACGCAATTTATTCTTTATTTTAGGGAAAGTATAAAAATCCCTAATCCTAATCCCTAATGGATTAGGTCGGGGCTGTACGGCGGATGACCTAATAATTCTATGTTTTCTTGCTCTAAAAACTCTTTTGTTCTGTGTGCGGTGTGAGAACTCGCATTGTCGTGATGGAGGATGATGCGGCGGTTACAGTTCTCTTTACGGAGGTCAGAAACGACCTGCGGCAAACAAATGCTAGCATACCACTCTGCATTAACCGATCTTTGTCCCTCAAGAGGAATAGTCGTAACATGGCCGGTTTTGGAGACAAACGTGGCCACCATTTTTTTTGCAACACTCCGTGAACGAACATTCATCCGAAAATCATCCGGTCAACACACTGTTTTTGTGTTAAACCACTTCGAAAGTCATAATAAATCATCGCTCTTGAATTTTCTCGAGTCAATTCCATTTTCTCAACGACTAAACAAGTTTGACAAAACCTTGTGACAAGACCGAGAATCTTTTTTTTAAATAAATAAATGGTACTCGATTTTCAAAACCAAATAGTTTTCAATTAAAAACATTTTAATATGACAGGAACAGTAGAAATATTCCATTCCCGATACTTTTAGTTCAGCCTAGTAATTGAACCAAAGGAAAGACTTGATGTATTTTTGAGGTAAGTATTTTTTATTTTGATAATTAAGTAATCAGGTGTAATTGGGATTTTGAATTAAATTTAATTAACAATTTTTATTGTATTTAAATTATTTTTTCTCGCAAGTATTCATGTTGATAATCGATGTAAAAATGTTTTTTTTCATATTTTTTATAATTATAGTCAACCAAATCTAAGAAATATATTTTAACAGCTGCCAGACTTATTGCACCAAGCATGCCAACCAAAAAATGGGAGCGTATAATATTCGATTCTTAAAAAAAATCGATACGAACAGTCCAAAAAGTTAAAGCCGAGTCACAAAATAAGAAGACAAACAAAATCACAAAATTACGCACAGTGTGCTCCCAAAATGGCGGGAGATTGAAATTACGTATTGGTTTTTTTAACGCGGCCTTGTATATGAGTTATTTAGCCTACACAAATTTACGTTGACAAAGTAAAAAAAAATGAACTTGTTTTATTCATGACTCACGTAATTTAAGGAATTTTAAAAATAAAAATTTAATTAAACAAATAGTACATTAAAAAAATTAATGATTCAATTATTTGAATATTTTTACCGATTATTTGAATATATGTGCCGATTATTCGCTTAACATATCATATCACATATCATTGAAACGACGTTAGGTAAAAAAGTTGATACTGGTTATATATATATATATATATATATATATATATATATATATATATATATATATATATATATATATATATATATATATATAGGGTATAGAAAGTAAATTGAATGAAAAATTTTTAATGATTAAATTTTTAGTTAAATCTCAATTTTTCCTTAATTCCTCAATTTTTGCCTGTCCTAAGCCAGGATGAAAGTATGAAGGAAAAGTTACATCACAGGTTATGTGTACCTATTGTGTTTTTATTGGAATGTTGTGTAGGTAGCTAGAGCGGGCGGTGATCTTTACAGTGATTACGTCACTCGGGCGCATAGTGTATACATGAATTTACGGACGGTGTCGGACAGAAACTTTTTAAATTTTATGAAAGAAAATAGCATCTTTTTTTTTAAATTCATTGAATTTACGTTCTATAAGTGATACCAAACCACTGGTTTCAAGGATAACGGTGTTTACACTAACAGCCTGTATGTATGTATGTATGTATGTGTATATATATATATATATATATATATATATATATATATATATATTATAAAACTGTAAATATTATAAAAATCTTTTGTATTTATTATCTTGTGTTGTTCGAAAATAAAATTTAAGAATGTCAAATATCTTCATTTGTTGTCTTACATTTTTGGTCCCACCCAGTGCAAGAACAATTATAAAATATACTAAAATGGATATTTGATATACAGGGTTATTTTGAAATTACCGGCCAAATCTGCATAGAAGGTTCAGAATAGTCAATATAGGCAAAATGTGAAGAAAAATTATAAAAAAAATCTCCAACATTCTGTCCTTTTTATCTTTTGAATTCAAAATACGTACATTGCTTAGGGTCGATCGCTAGTCAAAAACGGTGTTGTCCATAAATCACATTCAATTTGGGATAATTTCCAATAAAAGTAAAAGTCTTATATACTCGCATTTTCAACAACTGCAATAACTCGGTATATCATTATTTATATATTTAAACTTAAGTTGTTAAATTTTATTGTACTAACAAATGAGTTAAAAGATACTTTATTTTTATTTCACAAAAGCATTTTATTGTCATAGTATAAATGTCTGTGTTAAAACAGTTTTTTTGTGATGATTGGCTTATTATTTAAAACATAAGTTTCTCCACTTTTTGTTTTTGGTACTTAGAGCCTTTTTATTTCTGGTATTCATGGTTAACCATACCACATTACGGCTCTTTAGAATACGAATAGTCTTCACTAAGCCGCGAACAAACGGGCAGACCGACAGACTTGGCGAAACTAAGCGTTCCTTGTTGAGTACTACGGAACCCTAAAAAACTTGCTACGCTGACCAGATAAATAGATGATTTTAATTGTTCGAGTGCATTTTGCTAATACTTGTGCTAAAACTATCGATATAAAATATCGATATGGTAGCATCGCAATTAATTTGTCCGTCGTACACTAATAACTTTTTCTATGTTTATGTATTTAACCTATATGTGTGCGTAAAATGTAATAGTATTGGATATTTAGATTTGTGTGTCCCATAATGACACAACATTTTATTGAGTAGGGGTGCAGTACTGTCTATGTAGTGTTTCGTCGCCCCGCACCAAAAGTGACAGACCTTTTTGTTCGTAGCATTGACTTGAATTGTCTAAGGATTTAGCACAATTACTGCACTGAATTGCAAACCTTGGTGGACAAGCTCGTTATCGAATAGACTTATAACGTTTCGTATTTCTAACAATAATTAAATTAACATTTTAATGTTTCTGTTCGGTTCTCAGGTACAAATCAAAGCCTTGGAGCAGAGTAACAACTCTCTACTAAATAAACGACGGAACAAGGTGGGTGCTTGAAAAGCAAATAACAGCACCTTTTAGAAACAAATTCTCGAACGACTGCACTTCTGACCAGCGACCGGACTTAACTACATCTATGGTAAACAAAGACATCACAAACAATGACATAAGAAATCTTGATATCTAGCTTTTTATTTTCTGCTGCGAACACTAGCGTATGATGTAAAATCTAAAGGAAATATTGTATGGATAAATTTAATGTGGAAAAATATATACTTAAAAATGTCTTTAACTATTACAGTAATTAAAAATACTCGAAAGAAGAAAAATCCATATTTCATAACATGTGGCGCACTTACAAACCTTCTTCCCGCCGTTTAGACTACTTTGCTAAAGAAATAGACATTCATACATAAACTAGAAAAATATAAGTTCCTGAGGTAGTAGGGAAAAACTAATAGTTTTATTTCTTGCACAAACTTTTTTAGTTGCCTATATATATAATAAGTGCTCTGTAATAAATAACTAGTCTTCCTTTTACGTTAAGTTTTCTTTACAATACAAACATATCACAATATTAAACTCACTTTATATGTAACAAGATAATGTGCAATAGAATCTCTGCTAGTACGATCTCAGGATGTTCGTATTTTGTTGTGCCACTTGCCAAGTATGAGGTAAGAAAAGTTTCTCTGGTCAGATAATACAATAATAGAGAAAAAATATAGTACATATTTGCTCTCAAATATATATTAGGTTCTACTAAGGACACGTGAGTAGTTGTTAAATAATTTTCATCCATCCAACCATTGCAGCAAAAGTCCACGGCTTAAATAAAAAAGACAGTTATCTCCCACGTTTGTACTATACTTATTTACAAAATATATATACTTAATTACAAATATCGTATGTACAATTTAACATTGCAAGTAATTATTTTAGAATTTTGTATAATATATATTGGATTTCTACCTCATTCTTTTACTTTTTTACTTATAAATGCACAAAAGACGTTGAATGATTATACACCGACGCCAGGCTAAGCTAACGTGCCAAATTTATAAATATCATTTATGAAAAATATTTTGTTATTAATGAGAAAACAAGGCATGACTTTTTTAATTTAGTTTTTTTAGTTTAGTTAACACACTAATTTTTTGTCGAACCTACCTTAGTTAATTGATGTTTTTAGATTTTTTGCTTACTGCAGTTCTGAATAGTGAAATATTTGTTCTTTGCTTACTGCAGTTCGGATAGTGAAATATTTGTTATTTGCTTACTGCATTTCTGGATAGTGAAATATTTGTTCTTTGCTTACTGCAGTTCCGGATAGTGAAATACTTGTTCTTTGCTTACTGCAGTTATGGATAGTGAAAATTTGTTCTTTGCTTTGCAGTTCCGGATAGTGAAATACTTGTTCTTTGCTTACTGCAGTTATGGATAGTGAAATATTTGTTCTTTGCTTACTGCAATTCCGGATAGTGAAATATTTGTTCTTTCCTTACTATAGTTAAGGATAGTGAAATATTTGTTCTTTGTTCTGCAGTTCCGGATAGTGAAATATTTGTTCTTTGCTTACTGCAGTCCTGGATAGTGAATAATTTGTTCTTTGCTTACTGCAGTTCTGGATAGTGAAATATTTGTTCTTTGCTTACTGCAGTTCTGAACAGCGAAATGCTTGTTCTTTGCTTACTGCAGTTCTGGATAGTGAAATATTTGTTGTTTGTTTAGTATGATTACGGCAAATTTTAAGTGAGTAACATGAAAGATTTCGTAAAGTTTACGTATAACTCTGAAATGACACAGACATTACGTTTTCATTGCATTTTCGGTGCAATCTTCAAGGTGAAAACAGGCACTAGGAACCCGTTTGAGATATCGCTAGTAACGTTTCCTTAAAAAATTTCCTACTGTGGTAAGATTATTCTTGCATTCAAAATTAAAGTTTGCACGATGGATTAATAAGGAATTGCTAATTAGGTATATTTGCACACAGGTTAAGAGTGTTGGGTTTGAGTAGAGTAAATAGTAGTCACGTGTAGAAAATTTTATCTACATTGTAGTAATAAAATTAATGTTTCTCAGCAGCATGTAGGTATAATAATAATGTACTTACTGCTGTTTCCAAAATTATTTGAATATTTGGTTTCCAGGTCCTTAATAGATACTTTAAGGTATGCCTTAAAAGATCTCTCATCGAAGTAAAAATATGATCGAAAATAAAATTACTAAATGTCAAAGTGTAAGTTCTGAACTTCGAGATGAACGTAACCTTCCGTTTGTCCAGCAAAGCGCGTAGCAGCCCTAACTCATTTACAATTTGAAGTTACCGTTCGCTGTAGGTTCTTATCGCGATATGCATTTCCGAGTGATAGATGAATGCTTGCTTTAAAGTCAGAAACTGAGAAGGTGTGGCAATCGAATTGGCTTTGTCTTTTATGGAATACCACGACGAATTTGAAATATTTTGCTGTTGGTCTTAATCACTGAAATTCTAAGACAAGATGTTGTTTACTTCTTTAGCAAGTTTGCATTTCAAAGACTAATAGTTTATTTGAGATTAGCTTTTACAAAGTACTTTGAAAGTCAAAAGCTACGCAATCGCAAAAACAAGTCACTAATGCGGTAAAACTTTGTGAGAATAAGCGACAAGAAATTATATTATAAGTCAAATGTATTATATATTATGTTTCAGTTTTATTTTCGACTAATAAATAAGAACGTAAAAAAAAGCAAATTTAAACTAATCTTCGTTGTAAGTTTACCAGAAATTGGATGAAAATTATTTTTGTTGAAAAATTACGGTAAAAAATTGTTTTTTTTTTTTTACTTTAGTTATTGATAGTTATTTTTATTCTTAATAAACCTGAGATCCTCGGTGAACCTAAGAAATGAGTAAATATGTATAAATTCAGTGGAACTATTTCACTCGTTTTTTTATAAATCTTACTAAACCATTTAATGGGGCAAAGTATTACCAGAGTGAACGAGTAAATGAGATGCTGTGAATGAAATCGTACGTTACGAGACGTATGTCTGAAGCTTCCATTCTAAAAAGAAAAACTAGTGAAATCTTATATATTTACGCAAACACTATTTACATAACATTTAAATAAAACTAGTTTTTACGGATTTTACCCCGTATATTAACTTATTTTATATTACCGACGTTTCAAGCACTATACAGCATCCATGGTCACGGGGGAAATGAGGTATTAAAATTATTAGGTAGCCTTGATTGTGAGATTGGGACGTCGAACACCTCATTCCCCCCGTGACTATGCGTGCTGTATAATGCTCAAAACGTCGGTAATTTAACCCCTCGTCTGTCCAAACGCCATATTCTAACGTCTCAAATAATATGCGCGTCTGTCAAACGCCATAATATGGCGTCGAGTGATAGCAAACTATTTATAATATTTATATGATATATATATAACATACACATATATAACATATATATCTGTTATGCATAATCTGATAGCTTATTTAATAACGTTTCCATTGATATATGATTTTAATATACTTACTTAGTATATATATTATATACTTAGTATACTTGTTATATAATTACTTAGTACTTCGGAAAGTGCTCGACAGATGCGCCATATTGGCCAAAATGACCCCGACATTCGAGTGGATAAAATAAGTTAATATACGCGGTAAAATCCGCAAAAACTAGTTTTATTTAAATGTTAAATTTTCTACAGTATATCGTTGTCTATGTAAACAACATTACGTAGTCGAGAGGTTGAGTTTTACTGTAGAGTTGACAAGGTCACGGTATCGATTTCATTAAATGCGGATATTATTTTTAAACCCGCATAGATATTTGAAGAATTTGATGATTTTATTTAAGTTTTGGTTTCTAAGCCGCTTTTTTACTAAATTTATGGCATATATTTACATTAGCAAAAAACGCATGACGACTTAGCCTCGCCCCTTATTGTAACGTAATGTTCTTTTTCTAATGTTGTTTTTTCTAATTTAAGAACTAGCCGGTCGCCTTTAACTTTGCTCTTTGTTTATTTTGAAATTAAAATCTATAATATCGACACATGCAAGGAAAAAGATCGTAACTGATTTTTAACAACTTTACAGGAGAGCGCGTCAAAGATTCAAAAAATTCTTATATAGTTCTGTTAAGTCCTAGCGCCATCTCACCGTGAAAATGTAACTTAGCAAATCAAAATCTACACTTTCATATCATTAATATGTTATTAATATATGTATTCTATTATTTTTTATGAGTTACAATGACATTACACGACATAAACTTTATAAAATGACATTGTAACTGAGACATACAATTCAATTTTGCGTGTTAATATTTACTTCATTAAGTGAAAAACAATGTAAGTCTGAGATACAATGCCAAACATGTATTTTTATGTGTTTTTGAGTTAATGTAAGAATAAAACATTGTGAAATAATTAGGAAAATCTTTATTAATTTTAACTATAAAAATCTCAAAATGCAAGGAATAAATCATGTTGACACACCAAAACAAAGAGTCTTTCATAGTTAAGAAAATATAATAATAATAAATGTCGTTTTGCTAATTTTGGTTAGTTCTTGCTTATGTTTTAGTATATGCTTTATTTAATTTTCTTTTGAAATCTGTTTAAGGTACCTATCCAATCAACTTTAAGATAAGCATTACAGTGAGGTCCATGAAATTCTGAATATCACAATTAATAACAAACTTTAAAATATTTAAAGAAACAAAAATTACAAAATTAAGCAACAGAAAGTATTACAATTATTACTCTATAAACAATCACAAGTCTTTGCAATCTCTAACCAACTATATAAAATCAGTTTATCAATTAATAAAATAAATTCAGAAATATCTAGAAAGAAACATTTGAAATTTAAGGAAAAATAATTATTACAAAAGAAATCTCATTGATTATGTACATCAAAGACTTTTCTTTTTTAAATTTTAAATGTTTGTTTCTGTAAGATACTTTAAAATGTTTAGTATGCATACAATATAATTACTATATTGTATGCATACTAAACATTCGATTATATATTACTTACTAAAATATACATAATAGTTTTAAAACACAATACTTCTTAATCAGAATCAGTCATATTATTTGGTAGAATCGTTTTCACATGAGGTAAATTTATAAAATAATCATGATATATTGTTGGAATGGCATTGCTATTACATAAGCTTATTAAATCTTTGTACTTTGCTGTAGATAAAGGCAAAGGTGCATTATAAGCCTTAGAAATCGGTAGCTCTTGTTCACTGTTTTGAGGTTCCTTGGTAGCGCGACGAGTAACTGCCCGAAGAGAAACTGTCTTAATATCCTGAGCTAGATTTATAGCCATTTCATTGTCGCTCAGATAATCATATTGAAATTTAATTATATTAGGTAAGCTACTGATAAAATGAATATGCATAATTTTACTCCAGGAGACTTTCACATGGTTGACGTCGTGTTCCCAATTTTTGTAACATGGCAAAAGTTGTTTAAAATCCAATATATTGTCTTGGTTTACTTCCTTGACTTCATACGGCTCACCACTAGATTTAGCGCATCTTATCAAAGTCACCCATTGCTGAGGTACGTAGATAATTTTATGTTTTTTCCTTCGCTCAATAAGTGCATGCATCGCATCACCCTCTGATTGCGAATGTGCAACTTCAAAGAAGTGATGATTTATATGTATATTAAATATTCTGCTAGCATATGCATACATTGCGAATACTGTCCTGTTTTTATTCTGACCGCCACAGCTATCAGAATAAAAATTAAACTCCTTGTATCCTTCCAGAACCCTAGTTTTTATGAAGTCGAATACAAAACTACTTATTTCGTTAGATCCTTTGCGTCCGATCGTCTCGTCCCACAAGTAGCAATACCCTTTATGTTTACCCATATCATAGATCGTGAAGTTATATGTAGCAAGTTTTCTTTTGTAGTAAAATACGGACACTTCTGAATGAGGAGTATTCAAAATTTTTTGTAAATCATAACAAGCTGTTACGACAGAATCAGAGTGTTTAGCTCGGTGTTTGTCAGTATCTTTTAAAGACCTGACCACATTTTTGTTTGCAATATGTAAAGCGTACTCATACTCTAGCTTAGTTTTGTCAGTCTCAGTTGAATTTTTAAATAAATCACACCTTGGACATTGGTCTTTTTTCGGTTTGTTAAAGTCAATATTAAAATCTGTCTTAAATATCTCCCTATACTGTCTTGAAGTCGCAACGACCTGATCGGAATGTTTTTCATTCATCCATTCCAAATAAAGTTTGTAGAGTATTGGAAAGTTTAGTTGTTCATCCAGATACTGTTTACATGTCCTGTTTCTCACATAGTGTGAGTCTACTAATGGCATTTGTGAAATATGGTCTCTAACAGATTGTTTGACTTGATCTGGAACAGCATTTTTGCGCGTGCCGTGTCTACCTCTTTTATCGTTTATTATAGTACCTGTAGCAGACTTATCAATTTTTTTTAAATAAAGTCTGCAACCACATGTCGCTTATAGAGAGGGTGTTTAAAAACATCGTCTTACAGGTTCGTATTTCTTGACCTTCTATAAACAAATTGTATTCAAAAGACCACTTGCGCCTACTGGATGAGGCTGAGGCGGCAATAACTTGCTTTTTTTGGGACTCTTCTAACAAATCGGCTAATATAATCCATTTGTTTATTATGATCCCCCAGTTCCCAGAAGTTTTTAAATATTAAACTTCTCTGGTTTTCTGTGATTGCTTCTCGACATTTACGTGAACAATTAGCACCACAGTCTGGTTTCATAATTTTTTTCGCTATTAACTGCCCTTTTCTATTTATAAATTCCTCGCCCAAATTTTTCTTTCGTTTACATATTTCAGCCTTCCAATTTTCTTTATTCAAAAATCTCTTCCTTCCTGGGTTAACTTTCTTCGGATATTTCTTTTTTCTTTAACATTAATGTGTGATGAAATTCTAGGCTCTTCTGCGTTAGTTTGACTTCCATTCCCTATTACATTACTTTGTTCTTTAGAGGTTCGTATTCCAGGTTCTATTGCATCACTAAGTTCTGGTTTTGCACTAAAAATACAACAGGACATTATTAAATCGCTTTTAAAAATAAATATCTTTATTTCATCGTTTTACTGCTGTTATACTCGTAGTATTCAAGTAGGTAAACTTACCAATTTCACGTAAAATATCCTCTATTTGTTCATTATTGTAATTTTCTATGAATTCATCATTTATTGATTCTGTATCGGCATCAGGTGTTAAAACAGATGGAGCTGAAAACATATGACATTAAATTCCAATAACTTGTTTTTTTTGTGACCGAAAAATCAATTTTAAATTTTAAGCTGCCAGTACAACGAATACTGATATCTACACAATATGTCAATATTTAACCTAGATCAGGCTTAATTTGGTTGTACCATACACACGAACTTTGGTAATATTTACGATACTTAATGTAATAAAATATACCTACTGTTTTCTTGAGGTGGTAAATATTCTGAAACTACTGGTGAGTAAATCTCTTCGGATTCATTGGAGACTGTTTGATCATTCTGTATTTTTACCGGAGTGCGTTGTCTCAGGTTATATTTAAAACTTAGTAAATCATTTCCTATAAATAAAACCATAATATTAATCCACATTAACTGTGTAGAACGTAATTAACACAAATCTAACATACTTCCAGTCCAGGTTCATACGTAATTTTAATGGACTTCATTATATACGTACCTGTCTCGATAAAATTTGGTGACATCCTCCTTTCCAGTGGTACATTATTCTCAACGTCATTATTTCGATTGTTCACATGTTCGTCTTCTAAAAAAATCGTCTATTGCAGTTTGTACATAAACTAATAATATACCTCAAAATTACTGCATGTAGATATTTATGAGGTCAATCATAATATTCATGTGAATACTATAGTACTTATTCTAAATTGCAAATAAGATGTTATAACGATAAGTGGATGATATGTAAATATTTAAAAATAATGATCATTTACTAACCTGCGTTACTGTCCGTAATTTCACTTTTAGCTAAAGCTAACGCAATTATCTTACTACGGCGACTCATTTTTTTTAACTGTTTTCGTATTAAAACAATCCAATATTGTATGCAAGTTCCGGCAAAAAACACGTCGTTACTTGTACACAACATCAATAACACGTGCGAGGGGCGCCTGAGGAAGCGATCAAGAATCTATGCATCGTAAGTTTAATAATCTATCGTTAAACAAACACAACCCGAAAATTATTGCAGAGAAAATAATTGTAACTTATGTTACAGTCTTTGGACTGATATTTTTATTTTCTGTTTAAAGATTAAAACATCGTAAGCAATTTTACGATGAAAGCTTTTTTATTACGAAAATATAATTGCCAAGAACAAGAGAGTATCTTGTATTGCAATTATTGTTATGTAATAAATTAATGTCAGGCATAAGTAAGTATGCGTAACTAAATATACCTTTTTATTACCTTCAGTGGACACTGACTTACAACATTTTTCTACTAGCCAAAATCGTAACGCGAATGAATTTAGATACAGGGGTGAGCGCAAATGAAAGAGAATTTTTTATTTACTGAGAATATGATCGTAACTCAAAATCGCTAAAAAGTGACTTACGATGTTTTTCCTTGCAGGTGTCGATATATTTTGTATAATTTTCGATGAGAAAAAATTGATAATGCGTAACAACACTTTATCAATTTTTTAAAATTTTCACTTCATTGTATGTTAAATAGTGAACCTATTTATTACAATATGTTGTTTTTATAATATTGATGGGAATATGAAATTTAATACCTAATAATAAAAGACCTACGAGGTCTTCTATTGTTAAATCGAAAATAAGTCGGTAGAATTGATCATTAACGTTTAGGATTTTAATAGATTTTGCTCTGAAAATCAAATAAGTAAAAAAAAATTCTGTAATACGTCTTTAATATTGTACTCATTATAATAAAGACTACAAATAACAACCCGAACCAAACTAGTGAAAGCCGAAAGTATATAGTAGAAACGAGGATCGTAAGGCTTTTTAATTGAAACGCAATTGCTTTAGTTTTTTTTTAATGTTTTATACTTATGTACTTTCGTTCCTATTCAGGTCAGTGTATTTCTTTGTTTTATTTTTGTTTTCTTAGTAATATAAGACATGTAAAAAATTATTTTCAAAAATTTAGTTTGTACCTACATACTTAATGTTCAAATAGCTTTAGATTATATATTATATTTGTTTCTAAAGAAAACATATAAAATACCTAATTCGTATAGTTAAATATAAAAACATTCGTTATTGTCTGTTCTATGTTCAAAAGCTGGGTAATATAGGTACCTCCTTACCATATAATAGCAAACATTATTTATAAGTTAGAAAAATTTTTGTTTTCGGCTATCGTAGCCATATTTAGTACCTTCCCAATAAGACAGGTCGCTTAACTAAGATGATAGATTAAAAATATACTATACAGAATTTACTTTGACTGAAAGCAGCCATTTCTTCTATTATCACAGAAATGTCTTTATATATATCATTGATCACAATTAATAACGGGAGTGTAAAGATTAATAATATTGCATTTATAAGGTGCAGTTTGACTATAAAACTGTCGAAAGATTGCCATATATAATATCTTGCATCGACTTCTTGATATAACCCTGACCAGTATATAGGTAGGTATACAGTATACAGTAATACAAATATTTTACATTTTCGTGGTTAAAATTATTTATTTAGTAAGCCGTATAATCGTCAATCTATGACATAAAATTTATAAATATTATTATTAAATGTAATTATTACTCTATAAATAATGTATAATCATTTCAAAGGCTCAAAAAGAAAATGCTTTTGCCTTCTTATGTCACCGTTAAGTATTAATATTTAGTTCTAATGGATCATCATTTTCGTACAAGTACATAATATAAAAATATTTCTAACATATTTAGAATTAATATTTAGCAAATAAAGTCAATTTAAATTAAAATAAATATTAGCTTTATAAAGAAAACGTCATAAATAACTTTATTTGCATATTTTAATACGTTATTAATTTATACATATTTGGCAACATTAAATTATTAATTTGCCGTCCATATTTAAAATAAATTACAGAGTATATTTACACAATATTTAACGTACGTTGTGTCGTTGTACTTGCGTCTGAATTAGACTTTGTATATCGGGCAGTTTACGTAAGTGAATAGGAACGTAGAAGAAACAAATACTTGACGGTTACTTGTGATATTGGGTGACAGAAACATATAAATTATAGAAAATATTTTTAGATATAAAAAACATGTAGTTTGTAAAAGAACTGAATTATTAAAATGTCAAATAAGAGTGTCACTTAAATCGCAAAATAGTACAGATGTTATATAACTCGCGCAGATAAATAATGGGATTAAAAATGGCATCGCCTCCACTCACATCTCGCTTGCATAGTCTTGTCTATACTCACACCCATGAATACTAACGTGACGTTACGTTTATTTCGATAAACTTTTTGCACGTCGCTTTTGCTTTTAATTTCAGGCCCGAGTACCGGAACTACTGTTCAATATACTTTAACTATTAAATTGTTTCATTTTGTGGTCAGTTATTAATAATAAAATTATTTTTACAAATTTAATTGATTCAGGAATACCAATCTAATATTTTGAATACCTACAAATTTCTGATGATATTTTACAAAGTTAGTAGCGCTGTTTTTCCTTTAGATACCGTGTGTGCTGGACTCTACAAGCTCGATTAGTCGCCATTTCTAATCCCATTCTTTTATCCGCACGGCTGGTACACAGCGTAGAGAATAAGTAATACAACTGAAAGTACATTTTTATTCCTCAATATTGTAAAATGGGCGTTATGTATAACATGTACAGTCAACTGTATATATCCCGTAAGGCTATGTTTCTAGGGATCTCTGATGTTGCATAATAGAATATTCTGATGATGAATAGATAAGGTTGTGTTTAATATAAGTTTTGTGAAACAGCAGAATAAGATTGTCAGAAATCGTATCATAGTTAGTAGTCATTTCTAGTTAACCATGTATGTTAATACCCATAATTTAAGGTATAGTCTGTTCGTGTACGATCGCCTTTGTGTCGCGCCTTGACCTGTGCCACATCTTATCAAAGGCATAGCCGCAACATCAAAGGTCGCTGTGTGCAGCGTACACCCGCAGGAGAATTTGGCATTTTAAAACGATGCGCCTTAATGATTTTCTTTGCTAACTAACTTATGTTTTATTATTTATATTCGTATTTTATTATTATACCATAAGAGTAAATAAGTATTCTTATTTTATATTTGTTAGAATAGAAAAGCATATATTTAACAAACAGTAACAATAATAAAATAAAAGCAAAATAATAACCGGGTGTACCGACACTATCTAAGTGAACAGACTATATTTGTATGTATGGACAACCATATTTTTATGCTTTTCACTCGAGATATGAAAAAAAGAATTTGAAAAAGTTAAATTTAGCAAATGAAATAGTAAATATCAACGTTGTAATTATAAAAAGGTAATATGAAAACAAAGCGTGGAAATTCTTTTTCATTATAATCACATATTTGACCGCGATGTAAATAACTTGACATCACATTGCTAATATTAAGTTTATTCTTCGAGTACTTATTACTTTCTTAAACATATTGTTTTTAGGGCGTATACGTAAATGTATCACTTACTTGTAACAAAACGTGTATAGATAGCGCGAGTTGTGAGCACCAAGTGGCAGTACTTGCTCATGTACATTTTCCAGCCAATATACCTGAATTACGTGTCAATCGTGAATGATTCGTTAATTTGACCCGAGTCGCATTAAAATATTGATGATTGCTATTACATTTTTTGATTGATCGATCGTTCGGAATCAAACGTCTGACAGCACCTACGACCAAAAGTAAAAGTAAAGTAAAGTTACAGCCTATATACGTCCCACTGCTAAGCACAGGCCTCCTCTCATTACTGAGAGGGTTTTAGGGCAAGGAAGTGCCCGCCGCGCTGCCCCAGTGCGTGTTGGCGAACTTCACATGTCTTCGAAATATTTTTTTTCTTATTTCTCCGACATGCGGGTTTCCTCACGATGTTTTCCTTCACCGCCGAGCACGTGGTAAATCAGCACTTAAAATTGCAATTAACAATTTCATTGGTGCCGGCGGGGATCGAACCCGGTTTGCTCGCGTATTGTGAAATTTACAGCGAGCGCTAACCATCTGAGCTACCACGGCTCTAATGTCCGACGACCAACATTATATTGAGCGGGTCTCACAAATCACAGACAGAGTACTGTGAAATTCAAAATAATCAATTTAAATGATCGACCCTAATGACCCGGTTTGCAAGACTAATCAATACTTCAATGATTGGGTCATTAGAAATAAATGAATGACACATATCTAAGCAGAGTGGATGCCGCGTAAATATCCAATAGATGACAAATATTAACTAATGCATCAATTGCGTGAAAGAATGTTCACCATACCCACCCGCACCCTTGTACTTCACACCAAAGAGACCTATAAATCAACTGTTGCGATGCTCACTGCTCGTGCCGCTACGTATATGTTATTGGATGTTGATTAATGTAAGTATACATACCTTAATCTATTAATAAGGGTAAATACAATAAAATATTTATAATATCCAATATTTCATTTGCCTTGTTCCTTGAGGTATCCATAAAACCACAAATAGATCTAAATACTACTCCGCAAAAAGTAGACCACGAAATCTACATCTAACTGACGCTCTCTCAGTTGTGAAATGGAACCTCGTTTACTAAATTGTAAATTCGAATATTATGTTTAAAAAAACGAACCTGGACTAGACGGATGTTAGGTCTCCTCCAGCTGTTTCGATAATGGGAGCCTCTACTGTCTTCACAAACTAGGCCTAGAAAACTATGTTAGCATTCTAGGTACTAGACCACTCCAGAGCAATGTTTATGGGGTAATCTGCAATATTATATGATACTAGGTAAGATTCTGGAAAAGAATATTTAAACTTCATTTATATCGGAATGCTTTCTTGCCCAAAATGCAAAATAAAAAGTTACTC